ATTTTTTTTTTCTAAACATTACTTTTTATCTTCTTTTTTTCTAACAGTATTTAAAATCTTATCTGTAACTTCTTTTTTTTTTACACGACACACCTAAACACAATTCTAAAAAAAAAAGAAAAAAAAAACAAAAAAACGGAGGAGTGATTATGTTTCATTAGTATTTTTTCTCTTTTGTTTTATTCTGAAATTAGTATCCACTGTCGTTAATTATGATCAATCACCTCAGCTGTCAAAGGGGGTAATGAGGTAGCGGTCGACCTGATATACAACACTTAATGATTGTTAATTACGGGTAATTTGAGAATGTGGTTCAGTATTACTGGAATCCCTGCGTTAACAGTAACTATTATAAAAAAGTAATGGCAATTTTGTTTTTTTAGGGAGGGTCAGCTATATCACAGAGAGCTAATAACCCAACATAACAGTATACGTATCTATAACAACGGACGTTAGGATTCAAATAAAATTCTTTATATCTGAAACAGGTTCACCCTTTGTCTAATACCTCAGACAGAAAGAAAAAGCAATAAAAAAAACTCCATCAACTGCACAGCTGCAAAAGAAACGTAATATTTTGGGGAGGAAACAGCTGTGACACGATAGATATCCTGCAAAATATTATACATCAGATACAGAGCAATCCTCTACGCTAAGCAAATTCGCACAAGTCATATACCATCGGTCATCAGTACACTTGAATATTCATAGGCACTCAAACGGCTGCAACAGTATTAATCTTGTTAGCTTAAGCCTTGTGATGACAAAGGCTCAACCGGTACAAACCTAAAACCTAATTTATGTGATTGCCTTCAAATATTTTGTTCTCTACTTTTATCTTTGTAAATTAAGAAATGAAACAAGTTATTGTACTGAACAGTTAACATTTTTCTTAATAATTGATATAAAATACAATAACTACACATTTAATATTGACCGGCAACACATATACTACTACTATCTAAATATCCAAGGAATCTGATAAAAATGACAAACCATAGAATACCGAACACCTACACGACCTCCACGCCCCTTAGGCCAGGCGGAGGAGTCCCTGACGAGAGACCTCGCCCGCCCACCAGCTCCCGACCCCCGCCCCCCAAACGCCCATACTTACAGTTGGAGGCGAGAGGTTGGCACAGGTGGATCCCCTTCTCTCTGGGCCGATGCTTGAGTGTCTCCTGATGGGCAGCGACCCCGTGGAGGTTTCCCCGGGGGAGGAGGCGGAGGAGTGAGCCACCCTGATCTTCGGGGGCATCATGAGTTCGTTGTCTGAGAGGCGGCGCCCTATGAACGCTGACTGGACTCGGAGCAGATGCGAGTCCGGAGAGGAAGGCCCTGCGTGGTTCGGATACGAGCGGTAGAGAGGGGGACAGAATGGTCTTTGCGGAGGAGAGAGTCTATGAGAACATTAAAAAATAAAAGGCTATATTTTTTAAAATCAATTTACCAATTACTTTTAAAATCAAACCTGATGTGAAGAAGAAGTAGACCAGAAAATTGAGAAAAAATATACTGAAACAATCTTGTTATATGATAAAACTGGTCATGACGGAACTTTTTACTTTAGTAAAATATTTGCATTTTTATATACGTGATAGGAATTAATAATTTATTTTATGACAATTTATTAAAAGCAATACATATACTGACATACTTCAAGTTAGATTCCCTTATTAATTTTAATGGTCATTTATACTTATCGTAGTCTTCAGTCGACAAAACAAAATCTGTAAAAAAATACTTCAATTACGGATATTTTGATTTGATATTCATGAGAAGAGATTTGCTGACCGTGCAATCTTGACATGCAGCGATACCGAATTATCATAGGAACATCAATAACAGTAAATATCTTTTTTATGTCAACAATTAATGAAAAAAAGAGATGTGAATTTCTTATAAGCTGGCTTGCATGCACGTGACTCGGTAAATCATGAAGATTTGTACAAGTGGTCATGTAGTTAATCATGTTGAACTGGTTAACACAGTATCTCTATGCTTGACTAAATGCTAATATATATTGGTATCTACATTCATACAGATGTTCCTCATTCTCTCTCATTCTCATTCTCTCTCTCTCTCTCTCTCTCTCTCTCTCTCTCTCTCTCTCTCTCTCTCTCTCTATCTATATATATATATATATATATATATATATATATATATATATATATTTGTCTATCTGCCTGCTATATGTCCGTCTATCTGTCTGTCTCTACCTATCTGTCTGTCTCTGCCTATCTGCCTGCCTGTTTGCCTGCCTGCCTGCCTGCCTGCCTGCCTGTCTGTCTGTCTGTCAGTTTGCCTATCTGCCTGTCTGTCTCTTTCTCTCTCTTTCATACAAAAACACACACATACATAACTACAAACACCTATACACAACATACGCAGCGAAAGTTATATCGTAATGACCAATTCCTGTTCTAATTCGCAGTAAAGCTGAATAAAAAAAAAGTATTGAGAGACACTCATGACTTGAAGTTATCCCCGGATCTGCAAG